GTACATTCATTCACTGGATAGCCTCATTCCTCATACTAGAATTTTTTAACTATGTTTTTCTGAAGTTGCCACAATGTCCTGGATTGTTGGTAATAAATACAGTGACAGTACACAAAGATAAAAGTATACACCACAACAGTATATCAGTAAATTCTTAAATCAAATCTTTGAATTTGTAAATGGTGCTTTCAAGGTTTCATTGGTTTGGAAGAAGCCAGGATATGTAAAATGTTAGTCTAGCCTATGCTTTTTAAAGCAGTAGAAGAAACAAACCTCTGGGAATAAATCTCTCTCTCCCCTATCCCCCTTCTCTCTCTCGCACACACACCTATCTGTCTATCTACACCTCTAGGGAGACAGCCAAAATATTTCAATCTTATGAGTACCAGTCCAGCCTTAAGTGGTTAAGGCATTTGCCTCAAAAGTAGGAGATTCTGAGTACTTGTCATTCCTTAAGACATGAAAACTGGCTGGGTGATTTTCAATCAGTTACTCTCTCTCAACCCAATCCACATCACAGGGTTGTTTTTGTGGGGAAAATAGGCAGGAGAATTATATACGTTGCTTTAAGTTGTTAAGTAAAGGTGGGATATAAATCTAATAAATAAATAAATCAGAAAATAATATTATTTTTTCTTTGCTCCCTGATGAAAAGTTGGCTCCATCTTTGATAAGCAGATTTTGCTTTCAGTAATTTAACCCAATGATTCCTCATACGTATTTCTTGTTAACGTATATTCTCTTTTATTTAAAGAAGTGATCTCTTACAGTTGTTGACAGATTATCATTACAACCTTGGTAATATTTTTTTCTTGAAATATTTTGATACAAATATAATTTGTAATACTGTTTAGTGTTAATCATCAGATGCATTTCCTGATTTTAGTGGAAACATAAGTTTTCAATGTATTTTGTAGATCCCCCCCCCCGATACTCCAGTTGATGGGGAGCAGGTTTATGTATGCTTAGGGTATGAGGCCATGAACTGGGAGATTGTTGAGGTCTAGTCCCACTTTAGGCAAGAAGCCAACTGGGTGATCTTGGGCCAGTCAGTCTCAGCCCAAGAAAGGAAGCAGTGGTAAACCACTTATAAAAATGTAAAGAAAACTGCAGGGACTAATTCATGAATCAGCAGGAGTCTATTTCAAACAGAGAGAGAGAGAGAGAAAGAAAGAGAAAGAGAGAGAGAATAACTTAAAATTAATATAAATTAAAGATGAAGAATAATTTAGAATGAAAACTCTTAAATTTTTACCCTTATAGTTCTGATACCATGAGGGGAGAATATACTGATTTATGGCTCTTCACTTGGATATTTTGGGTGAGAATCAAAAAGCATAATAGACATTTGACTGTGCTTTCCAAAAAGCTGTATGGTGTGCAGTTACACGTTAAATAATTATGCTTCCTGTTTAATAAAAAGAAGAAACTATTCCAAATTCAAAACAGAAATTATGTAAAATTAAAGAATTCAGTCTTATGTTTACATATAATCTTGTAAAATACCATTTTGCCACTCAAAATCTGATACAAAATAGTAACAGAAGATGTGTTATATTATTAATCTGTTTTTTATTTATAAAATAATGGTGCTTACCTAAATTATCCACTTACTTTCACCGTATCCTACTCTGTGCTTTGTATGTGGGAAAGAGTTATCTGTTTTATGCATTGAAATGCTGATACGATAAATGAAAGCTTTTTTTTTCTGGGGGGAAAATTTTTACTTCTCTTTCTTGAAAATATAGCTTTCTCTTATGATGAGAAATTGTGTATCTCTATTCCTCTATTCCTGTTATTTTGCTGTGCTGAATTTGAAGAAGCAAAATGTGGAATATTTTCCTGGGCCTGCTAATGGAGTTCATACGAAAAATATAGCATATTTTTATGCAAGCTTAGTAATACTTTTACTGCATGGTATTTTCTTCTTTTGTATAATTTTAGGTGCAGATTATTTACAATGATCAAAACTAGTAGTCCAATTTGAACATGCAAGTATGATTTGTTTACATTATCTTCAAGCATAGTTAAAAAATACTAGCACTGGGATTTAACATTGTGTGAGTTCAACCAGTGAATGAGTATTCCAATTGTTTGGTTTAGTTTTTTATACTACAATCCCACTGATATATGTTCCACAGTGAAAACCTGTTCAGGAGTATTAATAAAAATGCCAATAGTCTTATATTAAACCTTAGCCTGTACTGTAATTTCTTTTATCAATAGTAGACATGTTCTGTACTATGAAACTATGTTTATACATAATGTTCATCCATCCTGACAATGGTAGTATTAGTGGTAGGTTCTTACAGCTGTCTTTTTTTCATTCAATTTTGAAGAAAAGGTTTCTAGATGAAGTGTTATAGATGTGAGAAGACTGAACAATAATTTTGAATATATGTATAGTTTAACTACATTATAAGATGACCGTTAATATCATGAAACAATAATACATTAGTGAACATTATTGTAAAGTTGCAAAACTTTAAAATGTATGTCAATGAATAATTTTTTAAAAATGGGGTACGACGAATCCAGAAAAATCTTTTTCCGGGTATAATTGGGGATAATATGTAACTACAAACTGTTCCATTACTAGACAAAAAAACAAGGGCAATTCCTGATTTTTGTGTTGAAATAACAAACTTGAATTTATGGACATCTAATGCTCTTCTAATGATAAGTGAACTATTGGTTGTTTCAATTGAATTACTTCATATATTCTATGTCTTGATTAAACACTGCTTTAAGGGATAGTTACAGTACTCTTTGATTTAGGCAAAAGTCATTATTGTATCTGGAAATTGTGTAAGGACCATTTGAAGCCCATATTTCTTATTAAAATTGTGTTTGCAGTTAACTGGAGATAGTTATATGTATTTAAATTGTTGATCGTGCCTTTGGGTGAGGTGACGTGGCCTATAATCTGTTCATTCCACTTTATGAGAAACTTGGAAAGGTGGTGAATCTATCAGATTAATGCTGTGTTTTTGTGTGAACAAACACTTAAGGGAAAAACAGGATTTTATTTTGAGTTTGTTAACTGATAACATTAAATAGTTTAATATTATAATTTAAATTAAGAGATAGCCATTAAATTTAAGAGATAGCCATTAAAATACATGGCTACTTTATTAATGTTGTTTTGTTTCATTGTTGCTTTTGTTTAAATGGTGCATTTGATAAAATGGAAGTATAAATTATATGAGATTTCTGAAATAAATAGGGCTGTTTTTGTACTTCACACAGGATATTTTGTTTTATGCACAGGTTATATGGGTTTTAATAATTTTGAAAAATAACCTGATTCTTGGGTAAATTGTTTTAACAGTAATCACCTATTAAAACGTATTGTCCTTTTCCCTTTTGGCAATGAGCAACCTTTTGAAGATTGGTTTAGAGATTTAGTTTCTGACCTCTTACTTATTCAGTCTCCTAAAAATTTATGCAATTTAATGCTTATAACTAAGCTACAAAAAGCTTTGCCACTTTGGCTGTTAGGTTTTAAGTTCAAGACTGGTTAATTATAGTCTCATGTTCACACAAGTTACATTTTTCCTGCTTCGAGGGAGCTCTAAGCAACAAAGAACACTATTCGTAATTTGAAGAGAACCCTGTCATGAAAGTAGAGACAAACATAAACACTTCTAACCTTTCTGGAGTTCAGACATCCAAAAAAAACCCATACCAATAAACTTCCTTGCACATGTTGCAGTGAACAGCTGGGCAAGCAAACTCAGAAAATCAGACTTTTCTTTTTATTATGGGAAAAGACATTGGTGGGAGGATTACATACATATAGTGTTAAGTATTAATTGGATTATAAACATCTATAAACCTTTAAATGTGACTGTAGCTTGACAGTCTGGTAGGATCCTGAGTATCTGGTCAGGCGGTGGGCAATTTTTTGTCCCCTCCAGCCATCATGTTCACTTCATCATTATTAAGCACTTCATAATGCTTTGAGCATATGTGTGTTTGTACTTGATAAGGAAGAAGGCGAAGCGCTTGAGAAGCATGAGGAAAGAGAGGGTAAATCACAATATTATAAATAAACAGAGTATAGGAGAGAGCAAAATCATGTAATTTAAACCAGCAAAATAGATACTGTTTTTTAAAGTGAAAATATTTTTTTCGTGTGATATAATTTGGATAAGATGCTTTCTTAACTGTTACTTGGAAAGATAAATACTTAAGTGTTTTGCCAGTCCAAATGCTTTTAACAAGAACCTCACTAGGCTGCCAGTTTTAAGATTAATAGATTTTTTTTAAAAAAATGAAGACCTTGCATGTTCTACATTTGATCTGTGACATATACATCTTGCACACCCCATTTTAAACATTTTAACAGAGATCTCTGTCTCTCTTATATGTTTCTAGTCTGTTTATCTAATTGATTAATTTAGATATAAATGTACATTCTTAAGCTTCGTTTGTAAGGCAGTTTAAAGCTGCTGAACTGTTATCTTCAACTTACATTTAAACTGTATGTTAAGGTGGCATTGTTTAACACTATGCTTTCACATCAGTTACTATAGTATCACAGCTAACCATAACTGACGCTTTGGATTGCTTTTCTGGGTATATTTTAAGCATGGCTCTTATTTTAATAAAATACCTCTTTAAAATGTAATATTGTTACTCTAGTTTCTGCTTTAATAGTTTGCATTATTGAAGTACAATAAGTATCACTTGGTAAATCATAACAATGCTTTAGTTTTACATATGTGGGTAGTATTTCTTCATTTCCCAGCTTTAAATAAACAGTAATAGAGAAGTAGAATCTTGACAAACAGTTCTAGGCAAACCCAATTAAAGGAATGTAATGGATTTTAAAAACAGCATATAAAATCAGTTATTTGAATAATCTAACAAATGGAGTAAAAACCAAACAGATCACCTTACAGGTTTGAAATCACTGGTATGACAAACCAAAGCAGTATTATTATGATTATGATTATGAGAAAAGCTAAATTATTTTATTCAAAAGACAAACTTACCTAGCAGATGATCGATAATTTGCAGTCTCTCCAAATACTGAGACTGACTCCCCAGGTAGGAAGCTTTTTCTATTAGAAAAGCATTCTGCACACTAGCTTTCCAATTTCTTTTTCTCTACTGTCTGTGTGGCTGCCTCATTTGCTGGTACTGCTTCATCTTGTGGCTGCTTGCTTCCAGTTTACTCCCAGTTATTCCATATCCTTTGGATTGACTCTGTAAGTGATACTTAGATTACTCTTCTCTTAAGATGCTAACAGAAAAAGAACTGGACTTTGCATCTTTCAAACAATAGAGGCAAAGACATCAATTCTAGTTAACTCAAGTGTTCAGCATTTATCAAATATTAATTGAAAGCTAGAACACCCAGTAAATCCCACATGCTTTTGCATATGAATTCCAATAGTGAAAACTTGTTTCTGTTTTTTTTAAAAAAAATCCAATATATCGAAGAAGTGTATTATCTCAAAAGGTAGAGTCAACAAAAATGGTCTTCGGGTTCTGCTTTAACTTTTCACCTGCACAGGCTGCATTTGGTAGGAATGTTGAACAGTATGCTCTTCTGTGCTTCTGTCAAACACAGATGTGAAATGCTGCTTACGAACAGAGGAGAAACTCCCCAAGGGTGTAGTGTGTGTTGTGTCATATCTCAAGACAGTGAGTATGCATAGCATCAATGAGTTGCTTTACTGATAGGATAATATTTTCCAGACATAATCTACTAATTATTTCTTCTGATGGTCAACAGTATCAGTAGACAGAGAATTTAAATGATTGTACATGTCTATTCCATGTTGAATAGCTTCTCAGCTCAGAAATCCAATTACTAGGAATTTGGACATATATTTTTATAAGGAGGCATTTCTCCCCTAAATTAAACTCTCTTTTTGTACTTAATATCTCTAAATAGTAATAACTAAAATTGCTATTATATTTAAAGTTTATTTAGTTACTGAGGTTATTGACTTATTTCACACTATATATTTGAAATCCAAATCTTGTTTCCTTTTTTTTTAAAAAAAAGCTTTTAACCATATCTCTGTAAAAAAATGCTCTAGTCTTTCTTTTTTTAAAAAAATAATGCGTCTTTATGATTGCAATACAATTTATAATCTTTTGCATTTTCCATTTAAAATGTGGCTTTTGAATGCTGTGTTTGATTTTTTTTCATAGAGTAGGAATCAGAAAAGCTAACAGAATTTAACTGAGTGTCTTCACAGAGGACTTCTAACAACAGGATTCTCCTCTAAAACAGAAAGGAAATCATTTTTTGCATGCAGTTTCTTGTACCCATGAAAGTTTATTCCAGAGATTTTAAGAAGTGTCAGCCACATCCTTTTTTGTTCCAGCAGAAGGCTAAGTTTGAAATAGCTCTTCCATTTGTGGAACATCAAAGTCACTGGTAGCTAATTGCTAAGAGAAATAAGAAAACAAATTGCAGTAGGCTTGTAACCACAGTTTTAATATGTATCATATTTTTGATCCCATATCCAACTACTTGACGGATTCTTCCATTTAATTAATGAAGTTTGTTCTAACTATGCCATCCATACATCTTTTCACATGTTCAAAAATTGGATGGCTTGGTCCTAAGGTATGCTTTTGCCTCTGTGAAATTGAACTGGCTTGTTCATGATTATGAAGACAAATAGTCAGCCAGAATAACCTTCATCTTCCTTACGAAGGCCAGGATCACAGCTATGATGTTTTAAAATGGAAATGGGTTTAAAATGCTAAAGAATGTTCAAGTCACATGCTTGCAGAAAATGTATGATTCAGTGTAAAAGCCATACATTTGTATGGGCATGCAAACAACCCATGAAAATGTTGAAAAAAATTATGCATCAATGTTAGCTAAGATCTGAAAATTTAGCAGTTCGAAACTAATAAAGTTCTGAATAAATACAAATGAAATATCCTTTGCAGTGTTGAGATTAAAATTAAAGAATTAATTCTATATAAGTATTAGATCCATCCTGAAACAATACCATTTCTGATAAATAATTTAAGTTATCAAAATTATATCTACTGCAGTTGCGAAATATAATTGAGCAAAATTACTGACAACAATTAATGTAAGCGCTTTTCTCCTTCCTTCATTTAATTAAAATGGGCCATTTTATATATATGGCATAGTCTTAGCTTCCTAGAGCATATACCTTAGTACATATTCTATGCTGAGAAAAGTCTGCCTGTTTTTCTCATGCCTACCTCCCAGGGGTGTATGTTTAGCAAATTTTTTTTTTTATTGAAAAAGTTTTTCAAATACAAATTTTCCCCCTTTTTCCCCCCTCCTCCCTAACCCCCCCTCCCCCTCCCCTCCCCCTGTGGCTTCTACAAAATAAAACCCAAATTCATAACAGATTATATAATACTTTACCATCCCTTTGCTCCACCCCCCATACACTGCAAATTTAACTTGATCAAAGTGCTAGCAAGTGTGTGGCAAACCTTTATAATGATTGAATCTTACAGTAAATCTTAACAGATTGATTTGTAAGAGCTAAAAGTAGAGAAAAGGTGAGACTACTTTTCAAAGAAGAAACAAAGAGAAATACTCTATAGTGGCAAACTTGCAGTTGCCATGGCTTTGGTGTTGGCTGGTCAAGTATATCTCTCACCTTAATATTTTACCTCCATTTTACCTCTGCATCCATTCAAATTCCAGAGAGAGAGTTTGGAAGATGGACTTTGACGGGGGAAAGAAGTCCAAATAAACTTTGTTCTAATTTTACTTTGCTTTTACTTTGCTCTGCTGGGAATAGATGTTAGTTTAGTTTCGCATTAGACATAGTTCTCATAGGAGAAGATGAGGTAGGTAGGGCTTTGGTTTTTTTAAGAAAAGGAGAAAGTCTTAAAAATACCCAAAATAATGCCAAAAGATCAGAAAGGATTCCGAGGAGAAGAAGCTGAATACTAGAGGATCTGACTGGCACTAAAGGATCCACATTGCATTGAGTGGATGGTCCCAGTAGGTGGACTGCTGGTCTTTTTGGTTGCTATCCAATAATAATGTGGACTGTTTAACTGTCATAAGGATTTATGGGTTTCTGGTGAGATTGGGAAAAGATTCACCAAAGTGTTTTGAGAACAGAAGCCAAGGATCAGATGAGTTCTGATGAAGAGTTGCTTTGGCACAGTGGTTACAGTGCAGTACTGCAGGCTACTTCTGCTGATCACCGGCTGCCAGCAGTTTGGCAGATCAAATCTTACCAGGCTCAAGGTTGATTCAGCCTTCCATCCTTCTGAGATGGGTAAAATGAGGACCCAGATTGTTGGGGGCAATATGCTGACTCTGTAAACAGTTTAAAGAGGGCTGTAAAGCACTGTGAAGCGGTATATAAGTCTAAGTGCTATTGCAAAGCCCTGTTGCTAGTTCTGAAAAGGAAACATTCCATGTGCCAGAAATTGATGGAAGAAAAGGCAAAGCAAAAGTTTTATTTGTCTGGGGATCATGAGACAATCCAAGGTTACCTGTCAGGTTTATGAATTGTAAGTGATGATAAATTGCCAATTCATTTCATAAGCTTTTTTCTTAACCTAGGCAGATAAACAGAAGGCCTATTAATTAGTAACATAAAGATGTGCTTATATATCAGGAATGCACATTGTTAGGCACATTATCAGAACAGATAAAACACAAGCTGCTTTTCCATGCAAAAGAAGAGGCGCAAACTGCCCCCACAAAAGAATATAAACTCACTTTCTAGGAGTGAAGCTGAAAAAGTGAAAGTGCTTTGCACTAACATTTGGCTGATACGCAAACTGTTTCTTCTAAACTTTGCAAATGGTAGTTTAAGGGACTGCAAAATCCAAGCAATCTGTGTAGGCCTACCTGCTTTAGTCAGATCCTTGAACTCACATAAAAATGTCCATTCATGCATGCAAACATTTATATTCTTGGAAACAATTGAATAACATTTTTATATGTTGCTGAATTTGTGTGTTTGTGTCTGTATATGTATTGCATGATCTAAATGGAAGCAGAAAAGGTAAAGGTATATTTATACTTTTGAAGAAGATTTGCTGTTCAAATAACAGCTATTTAGTTCTTTTTCTTTTTTGCCAATTATATATACATATTATTTTTAAATTTTTGTTTTGTGAGCATTCAAGGCAGTATATATTAATGTAAACTAATTATTTAGTATTTCAGTTTAAATCATTCCATTTTGTGAACCGAATATGTGATTACTGTCTAACTGAATTAAATCTTTCCTAAAGCTATAATAACATTTGGTTTAGTCTTCTGTATGTTCTATTATTTTTGTCTAAGATAAAATTTCATAAGCAATCAGAAATTCGGGGGATTTTGTATGCATATATGTATACTCATGATGTATACTCATGATGTTGCTGCTACTATTATTCTGTTTCCTAAGAGGAAATATTCTCTGAATAAGTTACACTTATAGAATTGTTGAAAGGGACTTCAGATCTAGTCCAATTTCTTGCTTGATCCAGGTTCTGTTAAAGCATTTTGGACAGATGGCTGTTCGGTCTGTCTCTAAAGACTTCCAGTGAAGAGAATGTACCACTTCATGAGGCAGACTTTTCACTGATTAACAACCCTTACCATCTGGAAATTGCTCTTAATATATACCCAGAACTATTTCCCTGCAGTTTCAACCCATTGATGCTCTCTCTAGCGAAAGAGGGTAAATATAAATAACCTTTGGATATTTGAAAGGTATCTTATCTCAACCATTTCTTCTTTATACATACCTTTTTCCCAGTTCCTTAACCATTCCTCATAAGACATGATAAAGACTTTTTCAGTTCTTTCATTTTGATAGTCCTCATCCAAACTCTCTCTAGATCAAGAGTCCCTAACCCCTGGTCTCCGGACCAACACTGGTCCACGGCATGCCAGAAACTGAGCCGTGCAAACTAGTGAAGCCCATCTGCGGGATGCAGGCAGCACAAAAAACCATGCCCCCTCTGGTCCACAGAAAAATCTCTCTCCACAGAACTGGTCCATGGTGACAAAAAGATTGGGGGCTGCTGCTCTAGATTGTTGAAATCTTTTTCATACCATGGCATTCAGAACTGGGAACAATGTTTGAAGTGAGTCCTGGCCAAGACAGAATAAAGTGGAACAGTTAGTTCCCATAGCTGCATTCTTTACTCTGATTAATACATCCCTAAACAACATTTGCCTTTTTTATCAGCTGCATCATCCTGTTGGGTGATATTGAAATATATGGTCCTAGAACATCTTCTAGATCATTTTTGAAGGTATTATTACTGAACAAAGTTCCCTAACCTATGCCTGTCCAGCTTTTCATTTTTTTCAAATGCAAGGCTACCTTTCTCAGTGTTAAAATTCATTCTGTTTGTTTAATCCATTACTCCACCCAGTTTAGATATTTTTCTGTGAAAATGCCAACTTCTCTTTACAGTTTTCTGCAACTTTGATAATGATGCCCTCTATCTTTTTATCCATATCATTAATAAAAGTATTGAACCAAGAGAGGGCCCAGAACAGAGCCCGCTGGCATTCCACTGGGCAGTACTCGCCGAGCTTTTATGGAACCCTTTATGAGTATTCTCTGGCTGCAATCATTCATACAATTATGAATCCAATAACAGGTGGATCTTCTAGCCTGTACTTAATCA